CTCCTGCCTGCTACCCTTCTCCCTCTTCTTCTAGAGGTTGACGGTGAAGAAATACCTCCATAAGTCGAAGTGGGGGCTGATCCCCAGGAATCCTTCGCACAGCGCGATGAATGCCGCCATGTGCTGGATCCCGTTGGGATTAAGATGTTGCAGCTCAATCTTGTAGAAGTGTAGCAGCCCCCGGAGGAATCTGTGGGCGGGGGTCATGAGCCCACGCTCGTGGAAGTGGGCGAACGACACCACTTAGCCGTCGGACGACGACGGCAAATCCTCGTCGTCGGGCAGCAACCACTCCTCGGCCGAGGTCCACGCGCGGAGAAGACCGCGATGGACGAGGCCCTCCATGCGCTAGAAGGTGATGTTGGAACGACACCACGGATCCATTGGAGGTGGGGGCGGATGGATGCGCGCTCAGCGGCGGCGAAGATAAAGAGGTAGGAAACCTAAGCATTGGCGGCGGCGGTGTGGCTATGGAGGTAAGGATGCAGGCGTGCGTATGAAACATAGAGGGCTAACCGTTTGGATTTATAGGGGCGATGGGTGCGAGGAAACCAACCGCTCGCATAGATCTCCGTGCCTGCCACGACCTATCACCACGTCTCATCACGGGGCGTGTGCACGCAACCTATGGCTGTCCCCTCAGAAAACGCGTCGGACATTTTGCCTCCCCGAACAGCCACGACCCAACACAGGTAAGAGGGATACGGAGCTAAAGACGCTCCTACGGCCCGTCTAGGCCTAGGAGTAAAAAGGTTGGCCCACCGACAGGTTTGACAACTGCTCCGGGCACCTTTAGAGTGAGGGTGGAAAGGGATGGGCCCGCTAGCAGCCAGTACCCGGGCACACGAGCACCGTGGGCAACCCGGCCCACATTCGAGTCTCGGCCAGATATGATCCAAGGTTTTTCCTCAAAGAAAGGTAGAGAGCCCTCCGGACTGGTCGAACGGACCCAAAAACTATATGGATTGACCGCTGAGAATCTGGAGTCTGTCACTAACTAACCCAAGCTGGACCCCCGTGAACGGGATGCCGGGGCACCACTCGGACTAGCCCGTTAACAGCCCAACGAGCACCATGATTCATCCATAAAGGAAAATCATGTCACGGCTCAGCTCCTCCATTTTTATCGAAAAAAATGCATGAGGAAAGATGAGCCGACCCTCGACCGGACCCCTGCTATGGGCGGGGGCTCGAGGAAAGTTGGACTCACAAGGAGACCGAACGCACAGTCGCAGAACGACAGACCCCATGGGGGTCAGAATCAGGAAAGACCTTTTCTGACCCACCAAATCTCACGGCCATACCCCCAAGGGGTCCGATTATGACAAAAGGGAATCGTCGTCCCCAGGACACGCCGTGGGTGACAAAAGAAGGCCAAGGCCCTTAGAGTCCTCCCGTTCGAAAAAGCCTCCGAAGGAGTATTCTACTCCTCTGCAGGCTCGGGGGCTACTGTCGGGGACCAATACTAGGGTACCCGAAGAGGAGCTAATGGTCATCAACATTGATTCATCTGAGCAGTCAAGAGCGCCACTACAGCTCCAACCGACCCCCAGGTGCGCAGGCTCCGCCTCGCCCTACCCTTGGGGGTAGGCTCCGCCTCACCCGACTCTGAGGCCACGAGCTCCGCCTCGCCCGACCCCTAGGCCGCGGGCTCCGCCTCACCCGACCGCTGGGGGCGAGCTTCGCCTCGCCCGACCTCTGGGTCGGGGGCTCCGTCTCGCCGACCCCTCAGACGCGGCTCCTGACGGAAGCCCATACCGCCGCCAACCACTCCTAGCGGAATGGGACGTTACGACCCGCTGACAACGCCAGGGCGTGGCATCAGCGGCGAACAAGTGCCTGGCGTGGAGCCATCCCTGTCACCATCTGCAGTGTCGGTGGGACCCACACAAAGGAAAAGAAAGGTCCGGCGGTCCTGGAAGCCTTCCTCTCCTTGCGTCTTCTCCCTCTTTCTCTTTGTGTAATCTGCTCTTCCCCTTCGTCTATAAAAGGGGAAGCAGGATGTCCCAGGAGGGGGGCGGTTGACCACTCTACACGGCTATAGACATCAAAACACATGCGCTAGAATGCCTTAGGAGCACACGCACATCAGAGACTTGGGAATGTCCCTCTCTCGCTCGTTTGTAACCCCTACTACAAACTTTAAGTATCGGTAACACGAGCAGCAGCGATGAACTGAACGTAGGGACTTTCTACCTGAGCCAGTATAAACCTTGTGTCCTCTAAGCACACCATCCGAGCCAGACGTGTAATACTAGAAATTTACTCGTCGGTGGTAACTCTAAACACCAACAACATGATTCGCTTATCATGACATTTTTATGTTCTCTTGTTGTAAATCCAAGAGTTATGATATGTCTTTTGTCTTCGCTCTTCAAGTTCAGCCAGTTTTATTTGACAATTCTTTCTATCTTGGTGGAGATCCATGTTCATTTGTTGACTACCCAATGGGCCCTAGATTCTAATTTGACTGGCAAATAGCATATTTTTCCATATACAAGCTAAAAAAGGTGACATACCTATAGGCATCTTGTATGCAATTCGGTGTGCCAAGAGTGCGTTGGGACGATTGTACTTCCATTTCTTCCCCATCCTGTTAATGGTCTTCTGCAGAATGTTCTTGATTTTGTTTCTTCGGTGTTTCAACTTGACCACTTTTTTGGGATGATATGGAGTTGCAATATTATGTTTTGCCCCATGCTCCGCCAGGTACTGCCGGAAGGTCTTGTTGAGAGGAAGTGTGGCCCTCCATCACTTATTACCATCCAATGTGTGCTAAACCTTGGGAATTTCACTTCATGGAACATCTTCTTGGAGTGCTTGGAGTTGGGATGATATTGCTTCTACCCATTTGGACACATAGTCTACTTGCACCAACATGCATTCATCATCTCTGTGCTTAGGGAATGGTCCCATGAAGTCGATCCCACATATGCCAACCAACTCCACTTGGAGGTTGTTCATGAGGGGGCATTGCATCCTCAACGTTGATGTTTACATGTTTCTTGCATCTGATGCATCTTCTGATAAACTACTTTATATTATGATACATCATTGGCCAGAAGAAATTAAACCACTTTGCTAGATCTTAGTGTGTGTTTAGACTGCTCCATGATGTCCTACATATGCTGATGCATGGCATCTTTCTATGATTTAATTTTGTGGATTAAACATTGGGATACATCTCTGTACCCATCAATGTAGACCCAATACATGCACAAATTATTCCAGATGTGGAAGCAACTATTGTGCTTAAGTTTCCTTTTAGTTTTTCCTTGATGCAACATATCATGCAACTATATAGTTTACAATATTTACATACCATAGATCAAAGTCGTTTACCTGGAGAAGTGTGTCATCTCTCGGATAACCAATAATAGGTAACTTATGTATATCTTTATATCGAAGCCTAGAAAAATGATCTACTGAATTTCTACTTCTTTATCTCTTATTTCTATGTCAAATTTTTGGAGTAGCAGAATCCATCAGATTAACTGAGGATTAGCATCTTTTTTCTTGAGAAGGTATTTAAGAGTAACATGGTCTATAAAAACAATTACTTTTGCTCTTATTAAGATTTATACTTGTCTATTGCAAATACAACCACCAACAACTCTTTTTCAGTAGTTGTATAGTTGATATGCGGCCCAATCAAGGTTTTGCTAGCATAAAATATAACATAGTGCTTCTTATCCTTGGTTTGACCTAGAACAACCCCTACAGCGAAGTCACTAGCACCGCACATGATTTCGAATGAAAGTTTCCAATCGGGTGGTTGAATTATTTGACCTAAAACCAGTGCCTTCAGTGACACATAGCACTTGTCCTAGTTGCTGGTTGTTCACAACGGTGGTGTAGCTAGGATTTAGAGTCCAGGTGGTCTATCTTAGGCCCTACTTAGAAGGGCTCTGTGCTACAGTAATCAAAGAAGGCAGAGTCGGAGGAGCTACAAATTGTAGCCTCTCATAGATCCACGGTGATTTGGAAAAGAGAGAAAAAGAGCTTCGGGCTACCCAAGGCATGCTACAGCGCCTTGGAACCAGAGCTGGAGTACTACTGAATCGTGCCAAACGATCCTTAGATGTAAAAACCAATTTAAAGGGAGGTCCATATATATTTTTTATAATTTTAGACAGCTCATCTACTATAGTTTAACTTTGAACCAAATTTCAGACTGGTCCTTGAACTACGATGCTACCTAGCTAGCTTCGCCTCTAGTTGATGGTTGTTATCTATCTATATCTATACTATAAAAGAGCAAAGAAATTGAGAAATGCTCCTCTGTCAATTAAATTAAATATATACTGTAAAAGGATGAAGGAATTCTCATCCAATGAAATACTATCCACCTCATATCGATCTAACGTGCTAAGCAATTCCATCCCGAAATGACAAACGGCCCGATCAGAAACTCATGCAGACACCACTTCATCGTGTGAGATCACCTTAATCTCACACACCCACGGCTGTTCGTGTGCAGCGCTCCAAGGGGCCAAAATCATCATCGCTATACGCTGGAAGCAAGGAAGTGCAGATATTCAATAGAATCAGAACCATCATTCAGTTCAGACATCACACTGGCCGAGTCTATGGTCCGTTCACACAACAGAACATGTCAGCAGACAGCAGTATCTTACTCAGTTACTCTGCCAATCGTCCAAATGAGCATGTACCACAAGCTCACGATTAAAAGGCCAAATCAACCAAGAAACATTGTACCACAAGCTTAGAAACATCAAACATTTGGACGAAAGACAAGTGCGATCCATTGTTGCCGAGTTCAGGGGAGAAATGAAGCCAGAACTCTAGAAAGAAAAATTCAGTGCCGGAGCTAAACTCGTTTAATTTCTACGTTCTTACAGCTCTTCAAAGACTTAAACTCGTTTCTAAGTGAGCCCGTATGGTTCAAAATTCAGTGCAGTTAACCTTGTCCTAAGACTCCGGTGAATTGCAAGGCAAAACCCAAAAACCGACGATGAGGATGGATAGGAGCTAGTTGATCAGACACGGTGGTCGAAGCTAAACTCCTTGTGGACGCCGCACTTGCAGGTCACGCGCAGCACCAGCTCGGCTCCGGAGCAGACCGCGCTGGACACTTCCACCTCTTGCTCCTGTACAGATCCAGGTTTCATTAAGGAAGTGCTGACAGAATACCAAAATGCATGCAGTCCAAAGAAGCTAAGCAACCCATTCAATTCCCTGGATGTGCAGAAGAATTTAAATTGGAAATTCGTTTCAAGAATCATGCCATTGGAATTTCATGGAAGATATTTGGCACAGGACTATAGCACTTAATTCACATAATGAAGGATTAAAGGAGACCATAAGGTTCAGCTAATTTGGCACAGGATTATCAGCACCGAATTCACATAAAGAAGACCATACAGATAATTTGGCACAGGATTATTAGCACTGGATTCACATAAAATAGACCATAAGCTTCACATGATTTGGCACAGGATTATGAACACTGAATTCACACAAAGCAGATCAGCTTCACAAAGCATCTATCCACTCAACCGATGGATAAGCAGGAAATTGCTTTTTTTAAGTGTATACACATAATTGCACAAGCAAAGCATCCAAGTTAAGTTCTATCCTTGAATCTAAAGAATGCAAGCAAAATGATGGAATCCCCGAACAGTAAGGAAGGCTGTACCGGCTTTCTCGGCTTCTCTGGCGAGGAAGTCCTCGTCTCCGGCGACGTGCAGCGTGACCCGGCTGGCGAGCGGGATGCCTCGCTGGAGGCTTTCTTGGCTTCCTGCGGCGATCAAATCAACACATTAGAGGTGAGCACAAGAAAGCAACGGCAGCAAGAAGAGAAATCAAGAAGTGCAAGCACGGCGTCGGCGTACCTGCTTGGCCGCCTTTCCCGGCGATGCGAAGAACGCACAGCACGGCTCCGACATGATAGACGAGCGGGAGGCCTCGGGGTTGACGGTGGAGTTAGTCTTGGCGAGCTTCTGCGGCGACGGGGTGAGCTGCTGCTGTTGCGGCGGCGGCGTATCTTCCTCCCAGTGTCGCGGACACATGCGACGAGGGTTCGTCTCGATGTGGAGGTTGGGCCGCGGCCGCTTCCTGCTCCCACTCCGCGGCGGAGGCAGCGACCGCGACGCCGAGAAGACGAACGACGGCGTTCCGAGGCCCACGGGGGGGAGCGTCGTCTCCTTGTCCACCGCGGAAGATGGAGAGCCTAGTTTCGCGCACGCTGGCCCCGACGAAGGGAAGAATTCGAACCCGACGCTTCCGGTGGCGCCCGTGCGCGCCGTCTTCGCGGAGTGGAGGGACGCGGCTGAGCCGCTGCCGGTGGGCATCAAGGACGCCTCGCAGCCGCTGGCAGTGGAGCCCATGGGCGTCAGCGGCTGCTTCGGCGAAGCCAAGAACGTGAGGCTGCTGGTGTTGGAGCCCCTGGAGGTGGGCGTCAGCGGCCCCTCCGGCGAAGCCGCGAACACGAAGCCGCCCCTGGAGGTGGGACCTGTGGGCGTGTCGGGCCGTTCCGGCGCAGCCAAGAACGCGAACATGTTCCCCGCGCTGCTGGCCGAGGAGCCCCCCGGCGTCCCTGTCGCGTTCTCGGCGAACGCGAACATGTTCCCCGCGGAGGTCGGGTGGCGCGGGCGGAGTCCCGGCTCGAACGAGAACTCCGCGGCGCGCGACGCCGTCGGTGTGGTGGGCGGGGGCGGGGGCGTCGGCGGAGGCGACGGTGTGTTCGGCGCGGGGTCGAAGGGGGGCAGCTCGAGCAGCATCCTCTTGCGCACGGAGGAGGCCGGGAGGAGGCAGCGGCGCTTGCGCCCCGCGTCGGCGGCGCAGGGTGCGGAGAAGGCGACAGCGTAGTGCGCGGGGTCGATGCGGAGCTCGGCGAGGTGCCGCGGCGCGGGCGGCGGAGTGAAGAAGAAGGGCTCCGGTGCCATGGCCATGGCGATTTGGGTTCTTGGGATTCTTGGATGGTCACCGGCCTGCTCGGGGGCGCTCGGGGATGGGCGGACTGGAAGAGAGGGGAGACGGAGGCGGTTTGCTGGTTCCGTTTCGACGTTGCTTTGTTTGTTTTTTTTGCTGTAATTCTCTCTGACCGACACATGACACATCCCGGCACGCGTGCATCTGCCTGTAAGATTCGTGCCGGTGTCCGATGGTAATGATCAGAACGGCTACGAACCTGCAAGCGAGACTGTCGACACGTGCATCTCAGACCCATCCACTTGTGGAGAATTTTTTTTATTCTTTTTTATTTAATATTTTAATAATAATCGCTTTTAAAGGATCCGATGCTTTGGTTCGCGCCCACTAGCGCGACTAAATAATGTTGTCGCGTCACATGCATTGGCGCAGCAACATCTGCCACGTTAAATGACATTTTCGATGTGGAAAACGCTGTCACGCCACTTCCGTTGACGTGATAGTATTGTTTTGTCGCGGCATCGGAAATGGCGTGACAAGACTAAGTCTTTGAAAAATCATAAGGTTTTGATACAATATCGGATGAAGATGAAATTTATACGAAAAATGTAGACATCGATGAGATCTACACCTTTGTAGTTTTGAGTTTTTTCATTTGATGACGTTAAGATGCTTAAAAAATAATATAAAATTTCAGGAGTATAATAACTGCGTACAAGTGCTTGTCGCATTAGAAAAATAATATCATTTTTGTTTGTTGTCAAATGAATATACTTTTTACATAAAAATTGTAGCTCTCAATGAGATCACAACTTTGTAGTTTTGAGTTTTTACATTTGAAATCGTTAAGATGTACGGAAAAAATAATATAAAATTTCAGTAACATTATAATCGCGTACTGGCGCTTGTTTCATTAGAAAAATAATATTGTATTTGTACGGTGTCAGATGAAGATATATTTTATATCAAAGTTGTAGCCCTAGTGAGATCTACAAATTTATAGTTTTGAGTTTTTATATTTGAGATCATTAACATACTCTAAAAACTTATATAAAGTTTTAGCAGCATATTAATCCTGTATCAAATTTTATCTTTTCAGAAAAATCGTATATTTCTTATTTGATGCCACATAAAAATACTTTTTAAATAAAAGTTATAGATCTCGTTAAGAGCTCCAACTTTGATATAAAAAGTACCTTTATTTGACGTGATACCAAAATGATATTATTTTTCTATTGCGATAAGCGCTAGTACGTGATTATTATAGTACTGAAATTTTATATTATTTTTTAAGCATCTTTAACCACTCCAAATGTGAAAACTAAAAACTATAAAGTTGTAGATCTCATTGAAAGCTACAATTTTGATGTAAAAAGTATTTTTATTTGACACCATACGAAAAAGATATTATTTGTCTAATGCGACAAGCACTTGCAGTGGTTATTATGTTCATGAAATTTTATATTATTTTTTGAGCATCTTAACGTCTTTAAATAAAAAAATGCAAAACTATAAAGCTATAGATATCATCCAGTGCTACAATTTTTATATAAATTACATCTTCATCCGACGTCGTATCAAAAGTTATGATTTTTCAAAGGTTTGGTCTTGTCATGCCACTCCCGGTGGTGCGACAGAACAATACTGTCACGTCAGTGGGAGTGACGTGACAACATTTCCACGTCAGAAACGCCGTGTAACGTGGTGGATGTTGCCGCGCTAATGCATGTGGCGCGACGACGTTATTTGATCGCGCCAACGGCACTGGCACGACCAAAAGGATCAAATCCGCAAATTTTTTTATGAGCAATTATTATTAAAATATTGAATAAAAAGGATTAAAAGTAAAAAAATCCTCCACTTGTCACAGGCTATGTCTCATGTATCCACCTCCAAGAGCTTAAGTAAAAGAAAAAAGACCTTAAGCTACACGGAGTATATTAAAAACGAAGGTAAGATTGCAAAGGAAGCTCACATTTTTTTTTTCTAATTATTATATTGCCTTGTGATTTGCAAACGATGGTAAGCAGGGGCAAGGATGTAAACTTTTTTATTCTCTTTTTAATAAAGATACTCAGAAATAATGGCTAGTACAAAGGCTAAACAACTTGGCATTTGTAGTATAAATGTTAAATAACTTGCACCAAAAAACCTCTAAAAATAATAGTATCAAAAACTAATCTGGCCATCTTTTTTTTTCCACGTCTGCATCCTCTGGAGCTTAAAAATCTCGTAGAAAGGCACAAGGGAATGGGGACACCTGCAACCACCCAACACAAAAAGACTTTGAATATTGCAAAAGGCACTCATCACTATAACAAGATCTAGTACCCACTAAAAGAACATCAATAGAAAGAAACATCTAACAAATACAAGTTTAGAATTCTTTACCACTAGAATAGAGTATTCGAGAAACCAGACCTAGAATAGACCGGAAGAATATGTCAAAACCACCATATCCAAAGACTTTATTTGGATCTTATGGCCTAAAGTAGTTGGCTAAAGTTAAAGACTAAAACTTTATACCATTTTTATCTTACTTGTGTTCTATAAGGTTCGCTAAACTTTAGACCACACTTCAGACCTCACGTTTGGAGCCTCAAGAGCTGAAATGGTCTAAAGTTTAGTAACTAAATTTTAGATCGTAGGAACCAAATAGGACCTAACTATCACCTCTAAAAAGAACCAACAGATAAAAGAAATACTCTCGCAAGTCATTCGCTAACACAAAAATCCAAAAAATAATTTGCTACTTAGATTTTAATTTGGTCTCCCTACTAGTTTATTAGTTCCTCCGTTCTAAATTATAAGTCACTTTGATTTTATTGGTACATCCATTTTGCTATGAAGTATCAAAAAATAATTTGGTACTTAGATTTTAATTTGGTCTCTCCACTAGATGCATAGCAAAATGGATATACCAAAAAAAATCAAAGCGACTTATAATTTAGAACGGAGTGAGTAATTAGTAGTTGATCCCCTTATGAATATTTTCAAGCTCTGCCCTTGATGGACGGATAGATCTTATTTGAATGCGCTATTATTGTCGCAAAACCAAACTCTAGATAAAAGAAGACCAATAACAAATTAAATGTACGAAGACACAAGGCCTTGCTTATCCTAAGTGCACCCTGGTAAATCATTCAAATTTGCAGTTGTTTGCCCTAACACAACTGAGTCATTTCTATGATACTATAAAATAGCGTGGCCCTATCAAAAAAAAAATAGTGTTGATTTGCTGGCCTATCAAAAATGCAATTCACGGTAAGCTCAGCATCATACAGTCTCTTTTCCGTACTAATGAATCATCATCGTAACAATGTATTATGAGTCTTTAACAAGAGTTACTTAGATGCTAGACGGGTTGTTCGTGAGCAGACAGATATGTTAATTTTTGACTCGCAAAAAAAGAAACTTATTTGCAATTCACGAACAACCCGCTTTGCATTTCTAGTCATTAGGAAAATCAACATTGACACACACAGCATATCGGTAGAGATTTCAGACCTTGAACCCTCCCACCTACTGGCCTTGGCATCATCTTCCCGTACTACTTTGGCTTCAGCAGTTAGGTGAGGCCTAATAAAAACGAAAAAGCTAAATAAACTTTCAAAATGGCATAAAAAGTCGTTGTAGCATAGTGGTGAGTATTTCCGCCTGTCACGCGGGTGAACCGGGTTTGATCCTTGGCAACGGCGAATGTAGTTTGTTTTTTAGGTTTTCACGTCATTTTCAGTTGGCGTTCACACATGTTGAATGGGCACGGGCCAACAGACTCTCAAAGCAATGAAGCATACCAGCCTGCTAAGCGCGCTATCATGTGGCCCTTTTTTTTTCGGTAGAGCAAAATGATGTAGCAGCTGTATGCAATAATTTCTCGAGAAAAAGTAAGATGGAGTTGTTGATGGAAAATGAGACTTAGATTTTTTTTCAGTAAAAATTAGTCTGATCCCCGATCTATGCTATTTAAAATGGTAGAACATAATAGTTTGTTGAATTCAAAGTTATGTTCTGTTCAAGTATATATGTGCATAATAGGCTAAATGTGAACTAATTAAAATTTTCTTTTTTCTAATGAACTCTACTCATCAATTAGCCTCTATTAGTTTTTGTTAAACCATATCTATTTGGCATCCAAAACATGGATTAAGGTTTGGTTTAGTCCATCTGAGACACCCCCTAGTAGAGAGAGAGAAAAGCGAATTTACTCTTTTGCCCAAGTAGTCTCCTCCATGCTAGAGAGAACTGCAAAAGAGGAGAAGCTCAATTCAGTCATGACAACTAAAAACAGTATGATGTCAAGGTTTAAACATTCTGCTAAAATGTGCAATGAACCTTAACATACATACTAAACGAGTTGATCTAATGTGATTTTGTAAATTGCCTAGTAGATTATTTCACTGGTGTAAAGCCTCAGTCAGTTGTACTATAAGTTAGGACTGTGAGTACCTGAGAGTTAGGCCCTGTTTAGTTTCCAAAATTTTTCAACCCAAAATGTCACATCGAATCTTGCGGCACATGCATGGAGCATTAAATGTAGACGAAAAAAAATTAATTGCACATTTTGGTTGGAAATCGCGAGACGAATCTTTTAAACCTAATTAGTCCATGAAAAGCCTTAAGTGCTACAGTACCCACATGTGCTAATGACTGATTAATTAGTATCATTAGATTTGTCTTGCACTTTTCTGATGGGTTCTGTAATTTGCTTTTTTATTAGTATCCAAAAACCCCTCCTGACATCCTTCCGACACATTCGATGTGACACCCAAAAATTTATCCTTCCGACATATCCGATGTGACACCTAAAAATTTTCTCCTCACCAACTAAACACCCCCTTATTTTAGCTCCAGTTCCTAGAAAACTGAAGACTGAGGTCTGCGGCTGGGCAGCCAGCAGACGATTCACTAGAGGGGAAAGCAAGCAGCTAGAGCGCGCAAGAGTGAGGGGCAGCTCGGCAGAGATCCAGAGGCTGGTGGCAGCTTGGGCAGTTCACGCACGAGGAGAGACGGTGGCGGC